GGCGGGGCGCGCATGCGCGGCGCGCGCCCGGCGGTAACGGCCGCGAGGAGGGAGGGGGGATGGCGAGAGGTGAGCGCGGCGGCCGGTAACGGAGGGCGCGGGACCGCCGGGGGCCCGTTCCCTGCTGGGGAGGGGGGAGAGGCGGGATGGGCCTGCTCGTTAGGGCGACAGGCTGCGGGGCGCGTTGTCATTTCATGTTGTCACGGTGCGCAGGGCCTGCAAACGCCGTGCCTTCGGTGCCGTGATCGGGAGGGAGGGTGGCTTTGTGGAAAAGAGTTACTGCCTTTTTTTTTTCCCCCTTGGTGAGGCCTCTTTAGCAGGAAAAACAAAGTGCAGATTTGCTTAGATTTGTTTAGCACAGTAAGGAGGCATGAAGCAGAAAGGAAGGTTAAAAGTTAGGACCAGGTACGGTTGTGCAAACTGTTAAAGAGCACACCTCGTCAGCTGTCAGGACAGTTTGTGGGGATTTATTTAATTATTTATTATTTCATTTGTTTGTTTGTTTCAGGAGGATGCCACTGCACGTGTGAGTAGTTTTGCTGGCCACCTGCCTAACAAGATGTTGAATTTCAACCTTCCTCTTGTTGCTGCCTTTGTAGGCTGAGTGCTTAGTGGTGTAGGGAACGTAGGGCCATAAGACCCTGCCCCAAGAACGAACCTCTTGAATCTTTCATGCCACGCAGTCACCTCCCCGCACCCTCTCCCAACATGCATCTGCTTTTCAGATTTGGGCAGAACATAGATGCTTTAAAAATGAAATAAATTCCTGGTGTGGTGATGACAGCCAGCTGGGAAATTTAACTGAGACTATGAGACAAAGGCCAAATTCCCAGGCCTTCCTCTTGGGAAATCAAACTTTCTGCTTCATGGAAACCTCTTCCTACAGGCATAGAGACTATAGAAGGCATAGACTGTTGTTACTAATAGGATTTCTTCCAGTGTAAGTAACTTATGTCAAATACACCCACATTCATCAGTACTATCTTTGCTTACTGAGAAGTGTGAAGTTTCTCAGATTTGCCGTGGCTAAATGCTTGGGTGGAAAAACAAAACAAAGCAAGGACTTTGGAATATACAGTGGCAGAATTGAAGTGTGACGATGGGAATCTGTACAAAACTGGTAGGCCTTGCCTAGCAGTGCTTGTGGCCTCCAGCTCTCACAAATGCTGCTATTGCCACTTCTTCCAGACACTAGACTGGGGCAGGAGCTCTGCCCTAGAAAAACCTGGAGCAAGTAACAGTGCCAACGTGCCTGATTTGAACAAATTAATATGAGAATGTGGCAAAAAAACCCTGCAGTGCACGTGTCACAGAACGAGTGGTGGCGGGGGTGAGTGATACCCGCCACAGCATGTAATTGTGTAACCAGTGGCCAATTGTGTTTTCCTCTGCAACACCACAGTTCTGTACAGGCTGCCCCAAAATTAATCTAAAATCTAAACTACGTGAAGTAATAGATAAACATAAAAATAAATTTCATATCTACTTTTTCTTCAGGCTACATGTATGGATTACACTTTTTGATAAATTATCTCACTTCCAGGAAAAACAGCAGATGCTTTTGGTCTTTCTGAGGTACACAGAGCGTGGTGGCAGCATGATGCAATACTAGGTTATAGTTGCCTGCGCTTCTAAGCGTGCAAAATCACTGTTTTATGAAAATGAACTGAAGTTAGGAGACTGCACGCTAAATAGCAATGTAAATTATACAGTAACAAACTACAATATAAAATTATAGAAACTTTTTTTCACATTTGCAGAGACCATTTATAAATGATTTAATTATTACCAAGAGCTCTTAGACGCATGAAAAATACATAAAATGTTTCTCCTACTTTAAAAATGAACATATACATTTCACATGTTCTGAAATAGTCCTTTTTTCACGGTATTTTTCTTACACTTTGCTATGAATAAGAAAAAAACAAAACTTTGAAGACTGCAGATGTCCAATAAACCAGGATAAGATCTGGGGAATCCCTTGCATTCTGGGGAACTGCGAAGTATATTAGTCATTTACCCATAAAGGAAATAAGGTTAAAAATACACCAGTTAAGTGACGGCTGAAAGGCTTAAGTCTGCAATTTCAGGGTAATAGTTTCGTTGACGTGAGTGGGCACGACTCAGCAACCAAGGCTGTAGGACGCCTAAAGGAGAGGTTTCCAGCCAGGCCTGCATTTGCGTTGCTGCCGGGGAAGGAAGTCGGGCGGCTCCGCCGCGGGGCCGCGCGGCGCCAAAGCAACCGTCTCCCTCCGCGGGTTGCCGTTACGTCCGTTCTCCCCGCGGGGCAGTTCGGGGGCCGCGGGGGCGGCCGTTACGGCCGCGCTCCCCGGGGCCGCAATGGCGGCGGCGGCGGCGGCCGTTACGGCCGCGCTCCCCGGGGCCGCAATGGCGGCGGCGGCGGCGGCCGTTACGGCCGCGCTCCCCGGG